ACCGGTCCCGCCACCCGCCCGGCAGCGATTCCCCCGCTGCCCCCAACAATGCCAGCCCCTGGCAGCTGGGGGAGCAGGGGGAGGTACGGCCCCGGTCCGTGGAGCTGGGGCTAGAGGAGAGACGCATCAAGGCCAAGATTGAGGAGCTGGAGGAGGAGGACGGGGACGAGGGGGACTCCGAGGCGGCCTTCTCCATGGGCAGCTGTTGCAGTAGCCTGCTGCAGATCTTCAAGTCCAAGAAGTTCCAGTCGGAGAAACTGGAGCGCCTCTATCAGCGCTACTTCTTCCGGCTCAACCAGAGCAGCCTCACCATGCTCATGGCTGTGCTGGTGCTGGTCTGTGTGGTCATGCTGATCTTCCATGCCGCGCACGGCCACTATGAGGTATCCTACGTCGTGGTGCTCTCTCTGGCCATCCTGCTGATGGTGGTGCTGTGCTTGGTGTGCAACCGCAACGACTTCCACCAGGACCATATGTGGTTGGCGTGCTACTCTGTCATCCTGGTGATCCTGGCAGTGCAAGTGGTAGGGGTTCTGCTGGTGTGGCCCAGGAGTGCTTCGGAGGGCATCTGGTGGACCGTCTTCTTTATCTACAGCATCTACACGCTGCTGCCAGTGCGGATGAGGGCTGCGGTCATCAGTGGGGTGGTGCTCTCTGCCATCCACCTGGCCGTCTCCCTCAAGATCAACGCGGAGGATAAGTTCCTCCTGAAGCAGGTAGGTGAGCCCTGAGCGGTTCGGGTGTGCGCTCGGCAGCCCCCACCTGCCCACCGTCTTGAAGGGTGAGGAAAGTGAGGTTGTCTGACTTCCACAGGCCTGTCTGATGCTGGAAGGCTGATGGGGCTTTCAGTTGTACCCCTAGGTTACCTGCCATGAGGTGGGATGTTGTACAACATGTTGGCTAGCCTGTAATCTAGCTTTTTTTTTTAATAGCTGTGGTGTTTCCTTGTTGCTGCTTTCCACTAAGGCTCTAAACATTTAAGAAATGTGTCTTACTGGTTTCCCATGACCACAGCTCCAGTGCTGTCAGCCAGTCCTGCTAATGCCCTTCAGTTGTATTTAGTGTAAACAGCTCTGCCCTAAGCACACCTGTGGAATGGTATCCACGTGTGCTGCCATGTTACTGAGAAATGTGTGGAAAGTCTTGCCATTTTTATCAGCTAGAGGTTATCCTTGTGTGTCACATCTGAGCCTGGGTTTGGTGTCAGCGCAGCGCTTGCTTAGGCGTCGGAGAGTGTGCTCCACGGGAATGTGGAGTAGGCTCTTGGTTTAGCAGAAAGGTGTTTTGCTCTGAGATGTGCTGGAAATGTCTATGGTGAAGAAACCCAAAGTTCATATACAGCCAAGAAAAAAAAGTTTTTTAAAAAAGTATAAATGCAGATTATTATTTAGCTGTGATATCATGTTTAACAGGAGCAGTTCAGTTCACGGGAACAATAAGACTATTATTGAATGCATTACAGTGCAATTTTTAATTACCATATCTGTATAAACAATGGCAATACAAGGCGCCACTCTTCTCAAGCAAAGCAAGCAGCCTTGGGGCTCATGTGCTTCAAGCTTACCAGACACCTTGGCAGTCGGGAAACCATTGACTTAAAATGCTGTAGCTATGTGGTAATCGTCATCCTTCTGATGAACAGGACTCTGAACAAGGATGAACCTATCATAGAGTCAGCCCTGACGCTTGTATGTAACCAGGGATTGTTTATTAAAATCAGGTGTTTTGGTAGCTTTGCAGCCCTACATAATGCAAAACGAAGCCTTGCGCTTGCAGTGCCTGCCTGGAGTCTTACTTCTTGAGTTGTTTTGAGTTCCGCCTATTGCAGTGTCAGGAAAAGTTGTAGGGCTTAAATAAAACTTCAGTAGGACATGGCTGTCACTGCTCTGCTCTGCAAAATAACCCATGAAATCACTCTTTTCTCCCCCCAGCCCAGTTAAGCCTGCTTGGACAGTTTCTGGCTTTGTTCTTGGTTTGTTACAGATATTTTTATAAACTGTACATGGCATATTTTTCTTATGCTTGATATAAATGGCTTTTTGTGCATTTCCAGCAGAGCATAGGCTGTGAGCAGGACAGTTGCTGTTTTTCTGCTTGACTTGGAAAAGTTTGCTAATGGCCTCAGCTTTTCCTCACTGGGGCTCCCTCTGGTCCTGCAAAGCCTTGTGCGTGCTATTAACGTTATACTCTGAATTCAATAGGACAAGTCTCAGTTTATTTGGAGACTGTATTCTTACATATGAAGGCAAAGCTTGGCATGATTATGGCCAGAAGACTTAGCAGTCTATTAGGAGCAAAGTTCAGTTTGGATGGTACTAATGAGTGCATAAAATATCATTATGTTTGGAAAGTGTTGGTAACTGTGTTTAATGGGAAGGAGCCTAAATCACAAAGGCCGAGTGACTGACTCCCTCAGTAGAGAATTTGGGATAATTACAGCTGCTCCCCTTTCCAAATGCAGCAGGGTTATTTGTAAGAGATTGGGCTTATGTCTAAATGTGCACTTGTCGAAGGTAAAAGCATGGGCAGTAGGTGATGGTACAGTGTGCACAAATCTGTGCATCACACAGTTGCTTTCCCTTTCATACTAGCATTGGGTTTTCCTGCAGATTGACATTAACGAGGAATGTCTCAGGAGTACTCTTACTTTGTTTTAAAGGCAGGGTATCTCTACATATTGCCTATTTATTTTTTCTACTAACACTAAATGCTGGTCTCTGTCTTGCTGTGGTCTATGTTGGCGTAGCTCTGGCTGAATTCAGTGGGGTTGTGCAAGGCCAAGAATCAGATTCCTTGCCCGTTTGCGTATGAACATGAGCTGCTATCTCTGGCTGTCTGATAGAAAAATCTGTTTCTGCCGAGCACATCGCCTCACAGCTATTAACAGACCTTCCTCACTGGGGCTGTATCTCGTTGCCATGGAAATCTGTTGTGTTCAACTCTGCCCCACTGATACACACTAGCCCAATTTTTTCCCCCTTTAAACTAACAGGGGTGAAGGTAGACGAAGACCAGATAAATCAAGAAGAAGGGTTAAGTTGTTTTCAGTGACTTCACGCTGGTAGTCACATCAGCATGGGTTTTGTGGAGCAGGAGTGGATGCAAATGCATTTGCGACTACATGACCAGATGGTTCTTTATCCACAGCAGTCATGGAAGAAAGGCTGGTTAGGATGTGTATCCCCTTTCCTCTCTTTTTCAAGACGTTTTTAACCATAATACTTAAGCAAGTTCTTCTTTGTGTGGGCTTTTTTCTTTTAATCTTCTCAGAGTTGTTTCCAAGCCAGGAAAAATCATGCACTCTTGTTATGATCCACTAACATTCAAAGCTGGGTGACTCTTGTGTAGACTCCTGAGCACTTTTATGAGGCTCAGAAGCCTGTTAAAAACTTAGTCGCTCCTCTTTCTCAAGAGAGGGAAACTTTCGGTTGTCGGTCCTTTTTGGGAGAAAGGCAACTTGTTGGATTCCCTTGCTGAGGATGCATGATTTTACTGTCTGAATTACCTTTTCCTAGCACTACTGAATTTCTCTGTCACCAGACTTTCTGGTCAGGCTTCATGGAAGGGTTAAGGCAGTCTGCTATTTCTGAATTGATAAGGGGACAGGAGTACAGGTAGTTGTGATTGTTCAGTCTGAACTGAGCTGCTTTTTTTAATAATTCTTCTGGGGTCACTGGACTTTGGAAGTCGACTCTGACTTCTGTTTGCTACCTGGAGGAGTCAGGCTCTGCCTTTCAAAAGGGTGCCCTGCGCATCCCTAGCAAAAGCAGCAGGTATACTTGGTACCTCTGTGAGCCTGATGGGGTAGAGGCAATGATCTTGGCTTCTTGAATTGATGTTTGATTCAAGCCAAAAAATGCTAATTAATACCAATTATTGCATTATGTTCAAAAGTCACCCAGTGGTGAGGAAGGGGAGAAAAAGAAATTGTGTGTTTGAGAATTTAGTTGCATCCAAAGACTGCCATTGGAAGCAGAGCACATTAAATGTATGACAGTCCGCCAACTACAAATCTTGATTGCTTAAAGTATGTGTTGTTCATGGTCTTTTTTTTGTGTTGTTTTTTTTTGTGTGTGTGTGTACCTGTGATCAATTAATTCTAGAGGCACTGCTTTTGTATTTATTGGGGAGGAGATGACTGCGTTTGTCTTCAGGTTTGTGTCCTTGTCTTAGTCTGGGACAGTTTGGATTGCAAATGTTTTTCAATGCACATAAGTCTGTCTTCCTGTATATAGTGTATCTCTTATCAGGCCAGGCTTTTCCATGTGTTGGTTGTGATGCACTTTTGGCCTCTGAAAACACATTCAACTCCAGGATTCACATAAGTACTTTATGTGCAAATGAGACTATCATCTAATACTTAACTGAGAAAGAAATATATTACTTATTTATCAATAAACCCTCTTGCATTCACAACAAAGATGATACTGAGCTTTGTTCTGTGTTCAGTAGAAACAAACTACCTAGCTGACCCACAAACTCATGCAAACACATGGGAAGAACTTACAGTGTGTGGGTAGCAGATGCTTAACTGAAGTCATGTGAGTAGAGCAGCTGCCCTCAATGCAGATAGTCTTGAGTAAGCACTGGCATTTTTTGTAAGACTAGGGGCTAGGGGACAGGGAGTTTCACAACAGAGTTTATTGGACTCTGAATCAGACTTAAAATGGGATGGGGATTGTGTGTGGTAGTGGGTGGGGGACCAGGGTAAGGGATAAGAATGCCGTATACAACCATAAAACAAACTGTGGTTAGATTTACTCCTGTTTTCCCATCCAAACCTGTTTTATTGTAACTTTCTGAGGTTCCTTGTTCAAGGATACAGTTAAGCCTTTGTAGTTCATTAACTCAGTGTGAATGGGTGACTGTGAATGTACCATGGGAGCAGAAATATTTTCACTGGGAATATATTCACTGGGAGAGAAATATTTTTTTCTTTTTGTCTTGTGTCAGTAACCTCATCGAAAGAGAAACTGAAATGCTCTGATCTCTTTCCTCCCTAAATACTACTGCAAACCTTCTGCAAAGGATCTCTTATAGCACAGTTCTGAACAGCTGCCCTGCTCACAGTTCTGAGCACGTGGCTCTTGTTTATGACACTCTGATTCAAGGCTCCTGATGATGAGCTCCTTCTTGCTCGGCCCCTTTCCATATGCTTCCATCATAACAACATTATATTGGTGGTACTCATCCTTCACTTGAGAGCTGTGTACATGTTGGCCTTTCTCCCTGTTGGTCCACATAAATGGTACATGATTGATCTGCAGCTGCATGGTGACTCTCTTGAAAGTGCAGTATTTCAGTTTAACCGTTTCTAGGAAGATGTTGGTCTGAAAACATGTGCAGTCACTCTAT